CTCTTTCCTAATTGCTGTCATTGATCCTGGCATGCCCCAGACAGAGTGACCCCCACTGTGGCTGGTGTCTTGCCATGAAGACACTCAGGTCCCTCTGTGATCAGGGTGGTGTTCTTCTATGGACTCAAGTCAATGCACCTTTGTGTGAGTGTGGTCGGGGGATAGGAGCGACTGAGATCTCACCATGCCTGGAGACAATCACCTGAGGAAGGGGCCTGTGTTAGCCCCTGACCAAACTCCTTTGCTGGAGGGTGGAGCTTAACAGTCAGCAACCGCAGGACAGGAAGATGGCGCCTGCTCTGTGGAGGAGGGCAGTGAGACGGCAGGTTCTGTGCAGAGATGCAGAGGTGGCCAGGTGACCTGGATGTGGTGGCCAAGCCAGGCTGAGAACATGGGCCTTAAGTGCCAGTTTGTTTCTGAGTGATGAGTTTTCTGGATTTCCTTTTCGTTCTGGATTTGAGTGAAGCCTACAGAAAGCTGTGCTGAGCTAAGAACAATCAAGGAAAGCACCTGCTGTCCACCCTCTGCTGGAGACAATGCCAGGGTGGCCAAGGAAGTGGTGAAGATGGGCCCAAGAGAGAACATTCTAGAAGGGTGGGGCTGGGGGGCTCGTATGTGTCGGGGTCACTTGGTGGGCCACCCCTTCCCTTGAAACTTGAGCCTCTGAGATTGGTTCTAACAGGGAAGGCTACCTCTTCATGTCTGTGTCCTTAGGTGGGGACACTTGGATTTTAGAGGGTGACAGCAGACAGGAAAGGCTCTTTGTCAGACATACATATCTATGCACACACACTCACACAAGCATTCATACACACACCACACACACTCACACACACATGCACACTCATGCACACACTTATGCCCATACACACACACTCATATACATATGCACTCACAGCACTCATACACACACCACACACTCATACACACATGCACTCACAGCACTCACACACATACCACACACATACACACACACGCACACTCACACACTCATACACATACCACACACATACACACACACGCACACTCACACACACACTCATACACATACACACACTCATACACACATGCACTCACAGCACTCATACACATACCACACACATACACACACACGCACACTCACGCACTCATACACACACTCATATACACATGCACTCACAGCACTCATACACATACCACACACATACACACACATGCACACTCACACACACACTCATACACACATGCACTCACAGCACTCATACACATACCACACACATACACACACATGCACACTCACACACTCATACACACACTCATATACACATGCACTCACAGCACTCATACACACACACTTATACACATACACATACACTCATATACATATGCACTCACAGCACTCATACACACACCACACACTCATACACACATGCACTCACAGCACTCATACACATACCACACACATACACACACACGCACACTCACACACTCATACACATACCACACACATACACACACACGCACACTCACACACTCATACACATACCACACACATACACACACACGCACACTCACACACTCATACACACACTCATATACACATGCACTCACAGCACTCATACACCACACGCACATGCACACTCATACGCACACATACACATACACACACTCATACACCTATGCACCCCCGGAGCCCAGGCCTAACCTGGGTACCCCACAAGTCCCCGAAGAGGCCAGTCCCAAAGTGTGTTTTTATACTATGATGTCAAAAGCCCACCCACTACTTGACTCACAACCCAAGCCAAAGGTTCACCCTCAAAACAGAGACCAGAGCAAACAGTCTCCACCCAGGCCTGCACCAATGCGGCCAATGGAACCGGGAAGAAGGCCCCGCAGGGTGTTTGCATACGATGGCAGCGATTGCGTGCGGCTGGCCTCTGATGTGTCCCGGCCAATTTCAGAGTCAGAATTATCTCCATCCCCTTGAAAGTTACATGGGCTTGTTTTTTCTCTCCTTTCATCTCTTTCCTAATTGCTGTCATTGATCCTGGCATGCCCCAGACAGAGTGACCCCCACTGTGGCTGGTGTCTTGCCATGAAGACACTCAGGTCCCTCTGTGATCAGGGTGGTGTTCTTCTATGGACTCAAGTCAATGCACCTTTGTGTGAGTGTGGTCGGGGGATAGGAGCGACTGAGATCTCACCATGCCTGGAGACAATCACCTGAGGAAGGGGCCTGTGTTAGCCCCTGACCAAACTCCTTTGCTGGAGGGTGGAGCTTAACAGTCAGCAACCGCAGGACAGGAAGATGGCGCCTGCTCTGTGGAGGAGGGCAGTGAGACGGCAGGTTCTGTGCAGAGATGCAGAGGTGGCCAGGTGACCTGGATGTGGTGGCCAAGCCAGGCTGAGAACATGGGCCTTAAGTGCCAGTTTGTTTCTGAGTGATGAGTTTTCTGGATTTCCTTTTCGTTCTGGATTTGAGTGAAGCCTACAGAAAGCTGTGCTGAGCTAAGAACAATCAAGGAAAGCACCTGCTGTCCACCCTCTGCTGGAGACAATGCCAGGGTGGCCAAGGAAGTGGTGAAGATGGGCCCAAGAGAGAACATTCTAGAAGGGTGGGGCTGGGGGGCTCGTATGTGTCGGGGTCACTTGGTGGGCCACCCCTTCCCTTGAAACTTGAGCCTCTGAGATTGGTTCTAACAGGGAAGGCTACCTCTTCATGTCTGTGTCCTTAGGTGGGGACACTTGGATTTTAGAGGGTGACAGCAGACAGGAAAGGCTCTTTGTCAGACATACATATCTATGCACACACACTCACACAAGCATTCATACACACACCACACACACTCACACACACATGCACACTCATGCACACACTTATGCCCATACACACACACTCATATACATATGCACTCACAGCACTCATACACACACCACACACTCATACACACATGCACTCACAGCACTCACACACATACCACACACATACACACACACGCACACTCACACACACACTCATACACATACACACACTCATACACACACGCCTGGCATGAGTTTAAGCCACCAGATCCAGGA